CTATCTATGGTTTAGTGAGATCATTTATTTGACTCGCTGCTGGCTGCACAAACTTTACATCTTTTTCACCTTTTAGAAGCCATCCGTTGTAGCTGTGATTATAATCCAATCATAATCCAGTTTCCTCCTGAACTTTACTTGTCCTGAATGTTTAAAGATGCCTCTTTTTAAATCTAGACATGCATGCTTTTTTCCCTGTCGTGATGTGGTATGGAGTAGAGAACAGAAAAGTTTTGTTCTGTTCTAGCTAGTATTAAGGGAGCCTTGCTGGACTGGAGGCTTGAAGTAACCTTTCTGATGCAACTCAGTAAACAGGGTTCACAGGTGTCACTGCGGCAGACACCAGAGCAATGGTGGTGCTCTTTAATTGGCTACGAGGTTACACTGTGGAAGAAGCAACAGAGAAGTGATGAATGGATGGATGGAGAACGGATGCAGATGGGTGAATATCCACAGCACAGAGATAGATGTCTAAAATCTCACAGCATAAAGGGACTAGACTTAAAAAAAAACACCCAGATGACATGTTTTGACTTTGTCGTTGAGGCTTAACCGAAGGAGAGAAAAGCAGCCGTGTTTTCCCCCAGTGCCGTATGACAACAACCCACTGTTCATTATTTGATGCAGGACTGAAATGGCATGTTTTGTAGAGCAACAGCAAAAGATTATTGCTTTATTGACCACCGTCATCCCACTGAAAGCCCACTGGCAGGGACTTTGGAGAAAAGAAGTGGTACAGCTCACTATAATTTAGCTAACTGAGCCATTTAGTTAGAGGCCGCCAATAACAGTTTTCAGCTGGAGGGACTGTAATGACATTAATAAAGGATGGCAGAGAGAGAAAATTAAACACTTAATGGAATTGTTTATTTTCAAATACAGCCACGGTTGATGGTCAAAAGGCATCTTCATTTTTCTCTTGAAGACCCACTTTTCTTGATTTGTTTGTCCTTCCACCTTTGTTCCTCAAATTGAGCTTAATTACAAATACTATGTGTGTGAGGGTGTGTGTGCTTGTACTTGAATCAAAAACAAGAATGAGGGCCAGGTTAGGCATGCAGTGATGAGGACTACAACACCTGTCTTTTTCACAGTAATTCAAACTCAGGCTAAACAGAACACACAAACCTAATATACACAGTGCTAGAAAATAATTGGACCTTAATCATTCTAGAGATAGCAGTTAATTAGAAATCTATTGGAGATATAAACCGATAAACTCATTAAGACTTAATGTAAAACATTTGGCTCTTTATTTAGAACATCCTACCTCACAATCATCAAATTTAGACTTCTTCTTCAGTGCCTATAATAACTGTTATGGTTACAGTATAAACAGGGACTGCAGGTAGCTAATGCATTGCTACGTTTCATGGTGCAGATTAGTTAAACATGTAAACAAATTTAGACTGGGCTCAGCTGCAGCCTATAGCCAACTACTCCATGCCAAGATTATACTCCCTGTTAGTGTGATGGGAACTTTAGAGCAATTTCTTCTCAAATGGAAATAAAACAATATGGTTGACAAAATCCATGAAAATCATTCTTTCCCCCCATTTATACTATCACTACATTTTTGATTATTGGTTTTACTGTATTAATGCATAGACTGACATTCTCAACTACCCTACCTCTCCACATCAGACAGATATTTGTTTATTAAGTAGAAAAACTTTATACATTCAAGCAAAAATACCAAACAGTTTTAAATTGCATAAAACCTTTCTCATATACTGCACTGTATATGGTTCTACGTACCTCTGAGATACCAAATAAATATCTCGGATTAACCAACCTATCGTGATAATAACTATACAGGCCATGCCTGGCTAAGACATGTTGTCAATATGCCATGAGCCTGATAATTAAGGCAGTGAAAAGTACAGTCAAGGGTTTATCGGGTGTAAGGGTATGTAAGAAAGGGACCGATAATGTGTGCATTTCTTCTTTACTTTTTTTGTCTGTAACAAGCTGTAAACATAACATTTTCATATTATCCCCTTATAAAGTTTTTATGATGACCGTGTCAGCAAGCATTTGCTTCTTTACACATATGAAATGGAAACTTCTTTCTCTCTATATTTCTTTTTAGAATAGTCAATAATTCAAAATCAATAGTTTAAAGGACAGTTTGTTGGACTGTTTGTTTTAAAGATCCCCTTTATTAAATATGCAAAAAGGACCTGAGTTCAGTTTCTGCAGAAAAAACTGTAGCAGATTCAATATCAATCAGGGATCAAGGATCATCTCCACCATATTTCCAGTCAATGCTGAAACCAGCAATCATTCACTCTTACTTTTTCCCAGAATTTTGTTTTGCAAAGTGCGTGGGTCACTTTATCAAGTAAAACTTAAGTGTTTGGCTAGATTCCCTACCAGAGTTGCTCAATGATTTTTGTGGAAATCAAACTTCTGATAACACAAACAGGAAAAACGTCTGGTTTACTTTTGATGTTGGTGGGTATATTATGTGTCTAGTTTAAGTGTAACTGGCCCTGAATATTAAATGTGTCTCTGTATGTGTGTATCTTTTGGCTGGAGACTGTGAAATAACTTAAAGTGTCATCATGAAGTGTATTGCAGGTGTGTGCGAATGTTATGTCCTAAAAATGTGGTATGAAGTGTCCTACCAAAGTTCCTTGAGTCACATAAGGCCAAACTGAGACATGGTTCCCCTCAGTGTGTGTGTGTGCGTGTCATAACTTCTTTAGATACACCATACATTAATATTACATACATAACGAATCAAAAGTATCCATCACACATCCAACTAACATGGAGCAACATTAGCGTTCATTTCAAATTGTGCTTCTGGCGACCTGACAAATGTAAGTTCAATATTTTACAACTGAGGAGAATATCTGGCTCTGTAGCTAAGCTAAATGCTTCACTATGTTCACCAGCTAGCTGCTAACTGAGTCTGCAGTTTGGTGCTGTTTGGTATTGTTATGTGGGTTTATCAAGAACTACCAAAACAGTAAGTCTAAGCCAACTGAAAGACTTTAAAAGACTGGACATCAGGTTACACCCATCTGTACCTCGCTCTCACTATGAGCAGCACCTTTCACTTTAACCCATTGTAATAAAAAACATGGATTAGCGCAGCTTTGAGTAAATAAACAAACACAGGTATAATCTACTACAAATCAGCCAGTGAAATCTGCAAACATTCTTGATATTTCCTCGTCTAGAAACAACACAGTCCTCGCCAAGGGCACAGCTGATTGAGAATTCTCCAGTACATGTAATGACAAAATAAGTAGTGTTTTTTTTCTTCCTCATTAGAGTAGTCCTCAATTACATGTCACATTTCTGTTTAATTTGAAGGATTATGAAAAATTCTTCAGGTGCCAACTCTAAGCAAGAGTCCCCCTTTCATCTGCTTTATCAGGCTGTGAGTGCGATAAAGCAACTAAAAATGATTCAGTTATTCAGCAATGGTGTTCTGTGGCTTTGTGGGGTTCTTAATGAGTAATCTTCCATGTTCTGTAGGAATCTTTAATAAGTGCCATTTAATGAATGAAACACGTTGTGTAGTAAGTCATTAACTTTGAAACCAACAGTGATTGCTTTTGAAGGATTAGGACCCTTTTCTTTGCATTCAAATGCGTGGCGTTAATTTTTCTGGAATTATTATCTTTGTTGTCAAGAGATAAGAGTTGAGATTCGAAAGATGTAATTAATGATATGCTGCTTAGTATTTAGTGCATCACCTCTTGGCTGAACACTAGCTGTTTTGCACAGCGGCTCAGGTGCAAACAGACGACTACAGACAAATGCCAGTCATTTGATGCCAGTGTTGTCACATCCCTGATCCTTTTCTGATACAGATCAATCATGACAGGGGGACAGACAGATAATGCATCCCCTGGCAGCTGAAATGTCCCTTTGCATGTGCTCACTTTTCTGACAGCGTCTTAACATTAACCTCATCATATGACTACTAAACTATTTGGAGTGACAGCACATTTGAGGACAAAGAAGAGCCACAATTCAGTGCTGTTGTGTAAACAAGCTACCAGCCATTATGGACATCCCCCAATAACCTCAAGTCATGTATTCTTGTAATTACCACTTCAAGGCTTGATGTGAACAGTTTTTCACAATCTGAATTCATATATTTAGACCGTTTTCCATTTTGAAATGAATAGATCCTTGCAGTGCTTCAGTGTAATTCTGTTGATGTCATTAAGTCAGTTTTTGTTCGGTATTGTTGAAGCTTTTTTGATGCTTTTGTATTAAAAAACACTTGCCGTGAACTTGAGGCATTTAAAGCTCTGTAGTGGAGTAAAGTTCTTACCACAATCAACTTGAAGGAAGAAGAACTGGCACAATACAGATGGAAATAACAGGAACATAACATTTATGAAACTTATTTTCTACCTGTCACCTAAGTCAGTCATTCTCAACGTGGACAGATGATAGAGCTCTAACAAAAAAACATTAAATATAGAAATTGCAGTTTAATTTTAAAATATATATGTCCATAGTCAGTTGTAATAGCTAAAGAGTATGTGTTACTGTGAAAGTGTGCGAAAATTAGCAAGTGAACAGAGAGGTATAAACCTTACCTAAAAGTAATGGAAAAATGACTGAAACATATTGGCCTTCTAACAGCTTTCTGATATTTCCAACGGCTATCTCCCTTTGTTCTTTTGCAATTTGAATTGTGAAGATAGCACTTACCAATTTCTTGCATAGTTTATATTTTGAGAGACACACATGCTGGTAACATAGCACCCTGGGAACATAGGGGTAAGCCCAAGTTCAAATAGATAGCTAAAAGTAACAGATAAATGATAAATGAAGTTAATTTTCAGCTGGTTATATATGAAGACATTATTGCATTATGATATTATATATTTAGTGTTAAATAACATCCTGTTTAAAATCAATTCAAATGAACACATTTGGAACATGTCAGGTGGTGCAGATGAAGTGGATATTGAAATTGAAATCTTTAAGCATCTTTTTCTCCCCCTGCCTCTCTCTCTCTTCAGGTGTCATCAGAACAGCTCTGCCCAACATGGACCGGGAGACGAGGGACCAGTATGTGCTGGTCATCCAGGCCAAAGACATGGTCGGCCAGATGGGTGGCCTCTCCGGCACCACCTCCGTCACTGTCACTCTTACCGATGTCAATGACAACCCGCCTCGGTTCACACACAGTAAGAATACGTTCCTTATTGTACCTACAGGGTTGATTAAGCTTGTCATGTACAGTACATGCCATGCTTTCAACAGCTACTCAGCAATCAGAATAAAACCACATCTCCTTGCTTCACGTGCAGTGTTTTTTGTTCCATCTGAATGCGGCTTCAAAGATCTATAATCGCTGAAGAACTACTTGAACTCAAATGAGGGAATACTTTGTACTGTATGCAATGAATGCAGTGGTACAAAAATACTGGGCTACTGGGTTAATCCACACTTGAAAAGATATCATTGGAAAATATTAAATTTCCTGTATTATCTGTAACACTGTAGAAATATTTTCTCATAATGTGTTATAGAATAAAGTTGAACAGAAATTACTCAATACTTAATCTTAAAAGCAAAACACACTCATTAAATCTTCATCATTAAACTTCATCTCAACCATTTCCTAAAGTTATGACCACTAACCCCATTCCCAGTTTATGTTAGTAACTTTCCTGCATTTGTATTTTCAGCAAACATTTGGACTTTTATGACCAAATTAAAAAAACAGCCTTCCTGCAAGGTGTGCACCTCCCTGCTTCTTCATCAGAGCTGGGGGCTGCGCTGGCGTCGGATACCAGGATCAATCAGGCTAGGTTTTTTTGTTGTCAGCCTATTTCACGGGCCGCTAATGGGTTTCAGACCGAGCTTTAGGATTCAAAGGCATGCAGTGCTTCTCATGATAATCCGAAGCGCCGGCAATCGGTTTACCACTGATAGCCCAACCACTGTCTGGCTGGTGCACTCACCACTGGACTGCCATGCAGCAGAGTCAATTTGCTGGCCCCTGGGGGGAGAGAAAGGTTCAAGTTTGCACAACAAGTCATCAATGCCGTTTTAACCCAGCGCTGTCAGACTGAGAAGAAAGAGACTTTGGTGGAGTTTGGGGGTTTTGCTCCTGCTGTCGTGCTCACAGGGTCATGGGTCAGAATCGATAGACCATTATGAAACATCAGAGCTGATGGAGTCGGGAGCTAATGCTAGTCCTTGGAAGAAACGAGGGGAAAGAAGCCAAGGTTAGCTGCACAAGAGGACGGGCTGTGTGTGTGTGTGGGGGGGGGGGGGGGGAGCAGAAGGGAAAAGAGTTGGTGGAGGTGCAGGGGCAAAAATGGAGGGAGGAAAGCAATTCTTTGGTCTTTTAAAGAGCTGCTATTCCACGGCAAATTAAAAAGCCATTACAAAGATTACATGGCGGCAAACAATGTCAGGCAGATTAGCATTTAGACGGTGGCTGAGGGAGACACAGTGAGGAACACAGAAAGGTCTGGTAATGAGCTCCGCTATGGTGATTGGAGAGATTATGATTATGAATATGATTCCCTTCTTTATTCTTAAAGGGGAACTTTAAATCCGAAGGGTCAGACAAAAGCTCAGGGAACACAATAGAGAGTTTCGGAGTAATAGAATCTTCAAGTGGACATTTCATCCTGTGAAAGGTACTAAAGGGATCTAAGCGTGAGTGGGTTTCTTTTTCTGACTTTTCCCTTTATTTGGTCCAAGGGATAACCCATTACATTAGACATCATTTAAAAGAGTTTTATATTTTGATCAATATATTCATCCATCTGTATAACCATATGCTGCAGTATGAAGTGGAAGCAAAGTGCCTTATTCTATGTGTGTCACTACTGCTGTCTGTCTGTGTTACGCAACATGAATTTTTTGGGGAGCCACACAGCTGAATCAAAGCTGAAGGGGTATAACAAAAGCTGAGCCGCTTGAAGGTGAGTTGGTGGTGAAATAAGCACATCCATTACGAGCATCTGCTCCTGTCCTGCCTTTTCCAGAGAACTATCAGTACACAGTGCTGGAGTCGCTGCCGGTGAAATCTGTGGTGGCCAGAATCAAAGCAGCTGATGCCGACATAGGCTCCAACGCAGAGATGGACTATAGGATCATGGACGGCGACGGGCCTGGCATGTTCAACATAACAACAGATGAGGACACACAAGATGGGGTCATCATCCTTCTGAAGGTACTGCACATGAAAGCATGGCTTGATTTAACATATCAGAGATTCACCAGTGACTCTCAGCCCATAAATGGTTAAACCTTCCCTCCTTAAAGTAAGTCCCACATTTTTTATTGCATAATTTTCCGGCTGTTGGGTGAAGCCATGTATGTGAGCAGCTGGTGTGGCATTAAATATTGCTTAGAATATTGATTGGAGTCATGTGACTACACAGTTAACTCAATCCATTCCTTTTTCAACCTGCAAGAAATACTGCAATACTACATTTCTCTTTCCTACTGGATGCCAACTCTAACTGCGGAAGCTACAGTTATGAACTACAGTGCCCTGCTGTTTACGGAACTTACTTAGCCTTTGTTTTAAAATTAAACTGTATATGTGTGTAATTTCTGTTCAGATTTTACAGTATTTGGTAGGAATGAATGGACACTGGACTGAGTGCACAGACGGGCGGGGGAGTCGCAGACTATAAAGAGATAGACTCAAGCATTGTTGGTTTTGTTCTTTTCATGGGATTTTGTAGAGCAGCACAAGAAGTGATGCATACTTTGGTTATAATAAACAGAAAAAAACATGTCTCTGGATCCACTGTGATCTTTAAGAATATGCTTGTTTACCTAAGGATGAAGAATAACTGGCCCTTTCTCCTCTTTACCCTTCTCTCTCTAATAATGTATTCTGCACCTTTGGATTAACTGATAATCAATAATGACAAATCAGCATTGACCATCTCCAACACCTTTGATCGAAGTAAACATCCCATGGTGAAATTGAAGGTTTACTACAAGACCAGCTCACTCAGATAGCTGTAGTGATTGATGAAGTCAAAGAAGATATTTTAACACCATGGAAACCAAAATGCTATAAATAATGTTACTGAGATCTACCTACATAAATAAATAAAACGTTTCAAGTTAAGTGTGCAACAAAGCCACTTAAACATTCATACAGGGAATTTCTTGCACGGTCTTGCCTCACTTTTGGATGCACCAGAGCTCATACTTTACATTTCAGGGTTCAGGACTGGAAGTGGTCCCCTCAGGCCACATGGATGTGACAGTTCATTGCTACAGCTCTTTTGTAGGAGAGGGAGATTGTTGCCATTGTTGGACACTAGCAAGTATTGTCAGATGGGCCAGTTTGATCCTTTGTTTGCTTTGCACCAAACACAGACAATTACAACATAGGAGAGAGTCAGTGACAATGAAAGTGCCAAATCAGTGTTCTCCTGCAGTGTATTATACGTTGCAATGGGGAGTTCCAGACAAAATATTTCTAGAGCATTAATTTCAGAATGCTTTTCACCATGTTATGTGCCTTTTTAAAAATCAATATTATTGCTCTCTCAGCACAAAGAAACTATAATCCATCAGCAAATGACTTTGTTTAAGTCAGACTGCGTGTTAAATTGTAATGGGTCTTTAGAATCCACATGCATAATTGTGATCAATATCTCAGCATTTTATGAATGATTTACAGATTTACATATACATATATATATATATAAACGCTTCCTTTTCCCTTGACTGGCTGAAAATGTGTTCAGTTGCTATGGCTAGCAGTGGCGTCTTTCCAACAAAGAACTGACATTTTCTCACATACTGTGCATTATGAAGTGTATTCTTCTCTGTCCGTCTGTTTCCTTTAGCCTCTAGACTTTGAAACAAAGAGCAGCTTTTCTCTGAGAATCGAAGCCACAAACAGGAATATTGACTCCAACTTCTTGAGCTTGGGCCCATTCAGCGACACAACATCAGTCAGGGTGACAGTGGAAGATGTGAACGAGCCACCTGTCTTCTCCACGCCACTTAAAAAGATGGTTGTTTCGGAGGATGCCAAAGTGGGCACCTCAATTGGGAGAGTCACTGCCCATGACCCAGACAACTCCAACAATGCCATCAGGTACTATAAATTTGCCTGCCTGCTGTTTAATGAAGTTACAAACTACCAATCTCCTAGCCATTTGAACAAGTTGATATCTGTCTTCAGTCATAATTCAGTGTTAAAACTAATTTTCCAGAGCTGTTTGTTAAAGAAGAAATCCCATGAATAACAAAGCACCCCAATAACCCTCCCAAATCAAGTAAAGACGACTAATTTGTTCATAAATGGATTAATCCATTCAACTACTTCGCATTAACTTCCAAACCAGAACCCATAAACCCCCGAAAGTCCCTGTCTGGCTGTAACAAAGACGATGCCAGATGGTAGGAGGGCCAAGAAGAGCAGCATTTGCAAAACTGAAATGCCATCTTGAACGAGAGAAGGGCATTCCTGCTAGAGGGTCAGGGCTCAACACTTGTGCTGTGGCATTTATGACTCAAAACAAACACTCACATTGCCAATCTGTGCGGTGTCACTCTCGAGATTCCCACCTATTTTGCATTAATTGAATGAATATTGTATGGTATTCGTGCTTGGCCTGTTAGGATTGTTAGTAATCTTAATCAGAAAATCAAATTACAGCACCATTGTAGCTGTAAATTGCCTCTTTTGGCTCCTGTGACTGCTATCAGCATCTGCAATATATTTCACTACATCTGTTGAAATTAAAATTATTGTGGAACTAATGCAGCCACAAGAGTCAAATTACATTGCAATAATACCCTTTGGATGTAGGCTAATTGAAGTTGTAATTTTCTCTAGAAATTCGAGTTGCTGTGTATTGAAAGGGTTTGATCACTGTTGTGTGCTGAGGGACAAGTAGACAGCTTTCATTTTTATCAAAAAATTAATAGGGTTTTGTTTCACTCATGGTACAAAGTTCCACGTTTGTCCTGCATTTCTTAATTTAAAGTAATCTCCAGGCTTGTGTTAATTATTTGTACTTCTAGACACTGACTGGAAAATATCTTATATGTTCTATAAAGTGTGGACACAATTCATCGGTGACTGATTAAAGTTCTGTTTGTATTAAGTGGAACTCTTCAGTGTGTTGTTGCACAGTTTGATGCAAGAAAACTACCATAATCCTTTCTTACAAGTAGAAGAAACTAAAATGTCAAATCAATACCACTGCCCAAAAGCAATTTTTAAAGGTGTGTCGGTTGTGTGTATGGTTGTGTATTTTTGTCCAGGTACTCCATCGACAGAAACACAGACTTGGAGCGCTTCTTTAATGTGGACGCCTTAAGTGGGGCCATCAGCACAGCCAAGCCTCTGGACCGAGAGGCCAACTTAGTCCACAACCTCACCATCTTCGCCATTGAGAGCCGTAAGTTGAGAAATGGATTAAAGAGTCTGCTGTAACTTAAGCTGCAGTTGTAAGCATTACTTCCAAGGCCAAGGATTATTTCTTTCGGCTAATTTGTGGAGTTAGGCAGGTTTTAAAAAAGCTGGTTTCAGACTAGTGTTTCACCACTGTGTCGAAACACATTCTGGAAACTATCAGAGTTTAGGCTAACTTTAGCACCTCTGTCATGGTCTTTTTGGGATCTGGGGAAATATATACTCCAGCAACCCCAAGCGTGGCACATGAGATTAACTTATGTTAAAAGTGAAAATAAACTTTTGAAGTCAGAAGACAGTGTTTTCATCCAACTACTGTAGCTAACGTTAGCTTTATTAGCTGGCTACCTACTGCAGTCATTTCAGCCTCCAAAATCGATGGTTCTGGATAGAAATGAGAAGCCTGCCTTTACCTCTATTTAAAATCAAGGACCAATTGTTTCAACAATTAATAAAAATGTTGAGTGGTAAATCTGCCACCGGGACTTAGCGAATGTTGGTGTCACGGTGAGATAGCATATGAAACCTTAGACCCTTATAGCTATCCTGTATCCCGTTCATAATGTCCCTTAACCTTCTGTGCTTTAGACAGTGCAGTTGTTGGGATTGTCGTAGGGCTGTCGGGGGGGATTTTAATTCACGCACCGGACGGTCGTTTTGACCTCCATGTGCCCATGAGCCTTGGGAGCGAGATGCTGACTAAGGGTGGGCGATCTCACCCACGCATGATCTATGTTAATGTGATGTGAAGAAGTGCCGCATGCCTTTTGGTTCATCTCTCAATGGCTCGAAGGACACAATGGCCTTTTTTTCCCCTGCCTTCCTATCATTCCACTGCAATCATGCAAATACAATGGACAACAGTCATCAGCACGCTATCCGCCAAGCGCTCTAGACAGCTGTGTCACATCAGTATAAGTTAAAAAAGACAACCAGCCTGTCAGCCTGGCAGTTCCTCTGCTTTCACATCCTCAGACTGAACACTGTGTGAAAAAGGGTATTCATTTTTTTTTTCATAAACTTTTTATCATTCTGTGCTTCAAAGATGTGTTTTTATTTACATCTAACAGCACACAGTCGCAGTACTCGGTTGATTCCCGAGTGTGAGCGCCTGCCTGATATAGCAACAAAGAAGGCAGTATATAATAATAGCCATATGAAATGTCACAACAGTCCTTCATGCATGAGGTACTGGCTTCTGACACATAGTGACACTCGGGCTGTTTCCAGCCGAGAACATCTTTGGGTTCACGGACTGGCAACAAAATCCACTGTCCCGGACACCTTATGACAGTATTTATAGTAAATGGGTTCTTTGTAACTGAAAAGAGTGCAGGCACTCTTTGGTTGAGGGATGTTGTGCATTTGAGCTGCAGTCACTCACATTTCATCCGCTCTGCCCGGACCACGCCAATGACAAGAAGTCTGTGGCCCGAGGCTCAGCGCGTCCTTTTTATCGCCATCAAATCAGCCAGCCCGAATGTCAGCGCGTCATCTTTGGCGGAATGGCGGCAATGCCAGGCCAAATCATCATCTTGCACTCAGACGCAGCCGTTTAGGCATCAGTGTGTGTCAGGCAGGTCGAGGCGTGAAGCCCACTGTGCAAGATGGCTCATCCGCACGAGACAACAAGCCTGCACCCAGTGTAATCACTTCGGCTGATCCACAGCAGAGTAGGTAAGGACGCCAGCTGTCGGACGCACACTGCATATTTCATTACAGCAGCAGTTTCCCCCCCCCCTCCTCCTTTGTGATTAATTAAAAGAGAAAATGAGAAAGATCAATATTCCATAATTTGGCCAAGTGCATAAACGCAAAAGTTAAGGCAGAGTTAAAGTTAAGCTTAAAAGAAAGTTTGCTGAATTCTGTCACATGAACAGGAGGCTCTCTACTCTCTTTCTTTTTCAGAGGACCCAACCCAAATTGGAAAAGGCATCTCTCTCATCACAGTGCTGGACATAAATGATAATGCCCCGGTCTTTGCCATCGACTATGAAACTCGCCTCTGTGAAAACACCATGCCCGGACAGGTAAGACCCAGAAACGTCTCTGCAGTTGGTCCAGCTTCCCTTCCTTTTTCTCTCTCCACACTCGCTTGAAGTTTGACTCACAAAGACAGCCTGCTGTCTCTCAAAGCCATTAAAACTCTTTCTTGTTCCTCAAAACAAGTCCACTGTGCACATATCCACTTCACGGCTCGAGGTCATTCCAGGGAGATGACATCATTAGGATGAGACACATCCTTAAGATTTAATAGCAGGTATTGTAGGTGGTATCGTTCATTAGAGATGTTACTCTCATTCCATACTGTCAAAGCCAACTAAATTAATGGCGGTGCTTGACTCTGCCTGTGGTCTTAATCCACAATATTATCACGCCGTAATGTGATATCTCATGCTGGGATGGAGTGGTGCTCTGCCGCGGTTTGACTTTCCGTTCTGAAGACCTGTGAAATTAGATGATCACCACGGTGGGTAGTGAGCCAGGAAATGCATCAAAATATCACGCAATAGGACCCAGAAAGATATCAAGCCTTGGAGAGTTAGTTCAGGAAAAGAAGCTGTAGCCATGCATCGCATTTTCTCTGTGTTTAGCATTTTGCCTCATTGTTGCTAAATGACTTGTGTGTCCGCGGCGGCGATCCGTCTGCTCTTGGCATTTGGAAAATACAATCAGAGGCGAAGGGTAAAGGAGGCGTGTAGACCTGAACACGTACAATTGATCAGAATGATGCATTGTATTGGAAATGGCTATTAGGCCCTTTTAAATATGTTATTTGCATTCATATTTCGGGGGTTGTTTGTCACTGTGCTCACAGGAGGGTAAACTAAAATAGCAAATGATTTCATTAGCAAAAATGAGAGAGTATATTTTATGTGTACGTTTGTTTTTTTCTCTGCGTGCATGATGCTTGACCACAATGTAGCTCTTTTTTCAGTGAGGTTACGGAGCCTTACGGATGGTTGTTGTTGCTGTGTTAAGTTAGGTGTTTGTAGTAGTTTAGGTGTTTGTTTCTTATTTGTTTTGCTCAGACTTAGAATTGCAAAAAAAATAAATGAAGTTCAGTACACATTATTCAACCTACCTTGAGGTATTTTGAGATATTTTGTTAAATCTATATTCATTTAATCAGATTAGCCTTAGGGTGTGCAGTATTTGCTGGAATAAACATTGCCTCTATATTAGATGCCATCATTATTGAAGAATGCATTCTACCAGAGCTGAACGTCTATTTTTGGTTAATGATGCTGCCACTTATCCTGAAATGACTGTGTTCGCTCAGTGATATCAGATTTAGATCTATCGCCCATCAATATACCCCGACTTAAAATTCAACACGTAACTTGTAAGTTTCTCCCTGCTAACGCCTGATAAATAATGGCAAAGAGCCTATGACAATGCTGAAACAAAGTCATTCCCCAACAATCAAACCAGCCCTTAGGACATAGCAACAGCCATGGCCCATGACAGCGTCATCAGCAGGAAAGGTACAGCAAATCTGTAATTACTCAGCTGAAGCAGACAGATTGCTTACTCAATGCCAGTGGTAGCTGAGCTGTGAGGTCCCCCCTAGGTGTAGCTGGCAGCTACTCTGCTGTGAAGCAAGGAGCTGCTGGTGACGGAGGCCTCCGTCCTCGTCCAACCAGGGAGAAGACACATTCAAATTCTGTCCATTTAGTGTTACAGTGGTACTGTCATAAATTGAGCTGCTAGTTTCAACATGTACTACCAACATTTGTGTGTATGTGTGTGTATTTGTGTGTGTCTGTGGTTGTGTGCTGAAATGGTTAATCTGCTTTATATTCAACTGAAGTAAACTGTTCCAAAGAATATTTGGCTGATTTATTTTTGAGACATTGCTTCCCACTTTTGCCCACTGTTTTGCATGCTGGCATTTAGCTAGCTTGGTAGTTACCAAGTTATCAAGTAAGTTAATTAGTTATTTGACTTGGAATCACAACTCACAGCACAAAAATAAGGTAAGATAGGAATGCAGTTCTGAAAAATCAATATAAAATAAGAACAAGCACTGGGTACAAAGTTGTCTCTCTTTCATGCTGTTGATTTTATTACATTGTGTGTGGGGGGGGAGCACAAAAACATAAGTGAAATTCATATGCGAAATATGGTATTTCACATGTGAGATCTCTGTTTTTCAAAAAATCACATGGCTTTATGTGAATTAATCACATTAAATTGTTGTTTTTACATGTGATTTCTTACATTTCACTGGTGAAATACCTGAAAATCACGTGTTGGTATTATGCAAACTTGTAACATGCTATTAAGAATGATTATAATATACAGAGATGGACTGGGTACAAAATTTGGTTAGCAAAAATAAAGATATGCATTTTATGACAATGTCAAATACAAAATTAATATAATTTAATATTTCTCCCTACGTATTAAACATAATAAGACAGTAATGACACATTGTTTCATATGTTTTCATAAATTGCAAACATCACATGTGCTATATGGGAATCCATGGCATGTTTAATGTGTTATTATGATAGTATGTGTGTAATTATTGTTGTCTCATATGATTTCCTAAATTTCACCTCTGAATTATCTGAAAATCCCATGCGCCAACATCATGCGTATGTATACCGTGCAAAATATCCAAAAACATTCCCTTCAATTCACACGATAAACATGTGAATTTGTGTTTCACTTTCATCTCCTTCACCTTATTGTTGGAGTGAATGACCACAAGAGAGAAGAAGTGCTTGTTCTCGTTTGTATTTTTCACTAATTCCAATTTCTTTTCAATCCCATTCAAATAAAGCCTTCTGTTTAGGCAATACTGAAGTGCACCAGTGGGATTGCACCTCCAGACTGAATAATCAAGGCAGGCAAAATGGAAATTTCATGATGAAATTTACACCCAAAAACACATACAGAGCAAAGACAAGGAGAGAGGTTGACATTTGAATGCAGAACCCCGTTTGAATTACAACTAGGTGTCGGCTGTCTGTTAGCAGACAGACTGGGTGGACTCGTAACCTGTCAGATGTATTCTCCACCAACCCCCTGATTCCTAATTAATTAAAATGCTCCTGTTGTGTATTGTATGTCCGGCCGTGGCAGTGAACAGTTGGCTGTACTAACTGCATCTGCTTCCCTGTAAAGCTTTGTTAAAAATCTTAGGCCGCCCACTGGCTGTCACGCCCATTGGCGTATGCACAGCTGCGACAAAGATGAAATAATAACATTTGCCAGTTGGGGCCGGGGTCAACTCTGTGGCTCTGTAGCACAGATTAACAGGGAGTGCAGGGATGGAATAACCTGCCATTTTTCAGGCCTAATTAAGGCCGTCTTGTGGCACTGGGTCTCTCCAGAGATGCCACTTGTTACGGATCATCTGTGCGTCTGTCTTCTGCCATAATATTAATTGATATTATGATGGGGTTGAGGGGGCAGAGTGGGTAGTAGGGGGGTCGGGTTGTACAGTCACTTCAGTGTAACCATTACATACATGAGTGGACTTGGCATTCTGCTGCCCCCAATCTGCTCCCCTGCCCCTCCCTGCACTCTTGCAGCATCCCAGAGGAGGCTCAGCATCCTCGAGAGACGTGTGAATGTTGGGCAGTGAAGAACAGAGGTTTCCAAACTGTGGGGTGTGCCTCTGCACAGGGAGGAAGAGACATGAGGCAAAGATACTGTGTGAGGTGAAAGAGACACTGTTGTGATGTCCTCAAAGCAAGTTAGTAATTGTAGTTTGGCCCATTTACCAACACGGTCAGCAGTAGAGCTTCAGCGTATGGAGGCAATTGAGGTACAAAACCCTTAGCACCTCACTGCCACAGTTTGTGTCAAACATTGTACTCCTTCTCTGAAAGTTAATAATTAGGTACAGCTGACCACTATATTTTTATCTTTGACCTTGTCCACATTTCCTGGACTGTCAGCCATTTTATGCAGTCTAATGATGCTGATTGATTGATTTACGTCACATTGCGTTGCCGTAAAGTCAGGTGACGTTAGATGGTAAATACGGTGCTTTAGTCTGCTACCAAGACAAAAGTCCATTTAAATTTCAGTAACTGTAATTGCGTTATTTAATTTGAAAAAGTACATTAAGATGTTACTCCATCAAATCTGAACACATGATGTACACGTATATTTTTATAAGTGACTCAGACTTCCCTAGGATATCATTATCTCCAATTTTCATTGTGAAACATCCATCTTTTTATTTATTTATCCAAAATTAGCTTAGAGATCATAGTTAAAAGACAGTTCTCATAACTCCAGAACTGGCCTAAGTCTACACATTTTAAAGTTTTCTTCAGTATCAAAGTAATCTAGTGATGTGTACGACCATGGGTACATTGCAAAAACAAACTGCTAATAGCTAATTCCGCATACTTTTTCTGGTGCCAATTTTCCAAAATTCAAAATTCAGGGTTCAAGTTGTAGCTTTTAAGTGACTCAACGGCAACATTTTATGTCTAAACGTAGAATATTATTATCCTCAAAACAAAACTAAGCACACAGCAGCAAGGCAGCACACAGTCTGTTCTATTAAAAGACGGAACTTGGAGGACATTCAATCTCAGGAGATCACGCTAGCCTAAGCAGTGGCTTGTCAGGATCATGCAACAAACATCCTTGTGTCAAGACAAATCTCAGCAAATGATTCAGATAATCAATGTGAAATGAGAGAACCAGCTAAGAACAAATGAAAAGAGATTGAAAGATGACATTTGTTGTATAGTACATATTGATTGCTATTAAAAAGTGTGTGTGTGTGTGTGTGTGTGTGATGACAGCCGGGTGGGAAGTGTGAGTCGATGCTGTTGATCTGTCGGTGAACAGAGTTGCAGGTGTCACATGTGGGTGATGTTTGGGGCGTCAATTTCATAGGAAATCAAGGCAGAGCAGTGCAGAGTGAGGGGTGTGAAAAAAGCAAGACCACCACTTCCTTCATCAACTCAATCCCTGGGGTGGAGTGCAACAGAATTGGCGTAAAAAAAAAAAGGTCTTAAATCTTCTGAGCTACGTCCGACTTTGTGATTTGAAA